AAAGGGTGGGTGGAAGGAAGGTAGGAATGGATGGCAGGAAGGAAGGGGTGGGTGGATGGAAGGAAGAGGTAGGTGGATGGAAGGAAGGGTGGGTGGGTAGGTGAATGGCAGGAAGGGTGGGTGGATGGAAGGAAGGGGTGGATGAAAGGAAGGGAGGGATGGGTGGAAGGAAGGAAGGAAGGGGGGGTGGAAAGATGGAAGGAAGGAAGGAAGGAGGGGGTGGGTGGAAGCAAGGGAGGGATGGGTGGAAGGAAGAAAGGGATGGGTGGAAGGATGGGAGGAAAGAAGGAGGGAAGGAAGGGAGGGTGGAAGGAAGGGAGGGGTGGGAGGAAAGAAGGTAGGGGTGGGTGGGTGTAATGTAGATTGGACTCATGTGACTCAGATGCATCAGAGCTGTTGGCTGCTGTATTCAGTTCACCGCCCACACATCCTCTGAAGCTGCATGGACTGGAGTGTGGACAGGCACAGGGGTAGGCAGAGCAGATCCAGCCTCTCTCTCCTCTTCTCCTTTTGGTGCGGAGGATGGAGGGAGGGGCTGAGCATTGAGAAGAACACAGTGGCGTTGGGAGGGAGAGGGGGGGGTAGAAAGAAAACTGAGCCATCAGGTATGTTCTTTTCAGCGGTGGGGGTGGTGACAAGCAGCGATCTCCTGTATGACTTCCAGTGAAGCAACTGAAAGCCGATTCTCCTCCTCTCCCTCCCGTGGCTTCCAGCTGCTTTATTGAAAGCCATAGAGGAGATCGCTGCTTGTCACCGCCCCAAACCACCCCTCCCACACACCCCTAGTCCCGGGACCACTCGCCGCCCCTACCTTATTTCCACTCACGGGTGAGTGTAAATTTCGAGTGCTGCAGGGATGGTTGGCAACTCTCCTTTGGGGGGGATGTTCAGACCCCCCTGACCTCCCCCTTATCTGTGCCCCTGCTGCAAGGGGCGGGGCGCACACTGTGATGTCATGTTGCCGTGACGTCCACCTTGCTCAGCGGTGGATCTGTCATTGCAGGCTGGAGGTCTGGAAGGGAGCGCTGCTGGGGCCTTTCTTGGTCCGTGGTCTGCTATTTAGTGACTGCTGCTGTAGAAGATACATTGAACTGCCACCTTGTGGGGGAGGTGCATTGTTTGTTACATTATCTTCAATGGTACTTTCCGATTCCATTATGAGTAGTGAGTTCCAGTCAATTGAGATCAGAGAGTTCACAATGAGTCAGGGGAAGAGGAGATGATATCCCCGTGCAATACGTGTTACTATATACTGTACATTTACTACAGCAACAGGAAACTAATATGGAGTAGAAAAGCTGCTATTAGATGATCATTTGCATAGTCTTCTTTTCACACCATACGCTTTGACCTGCTTTTTTTTTCACCTGATCGGTGTGGGTCACTGCAAGGACACATAGAAAACAAATGGTTTTTTTTTTGTGTCCCTTGATATCAATACAACACAGTGGCGATGTGCAATGTGGAAAAATGCATATTAACACTTGTCACTGCGCCACAACTCGGCTGCAGTATAAAAACTTTAACCACTTGCCCTTCAGAGGATTTACCCCCCATTCCTGACCAAGCCATTTTTTGTGATACGTTATTTTAACTAACAATTGCGCGTTCATGCAACGCTATATATAAATGAAATTTGTGGCATTTTTTCCCCCACAAATAGGGCATTCTTTCAGTGGTATTTGATCACCTCTTCGTTTTGAAATCCCCACGCTTCTCCCTGTTTTTTCTGCAAGACAGATAGATTAGACCAATTTGTTTGGTCAGTGCAGGCACAGAGCATCATCCTGATCCATCCTGGAAGACCTGCAGAAATAATTGGGAGAAGCACAGGGATTTCAAATCTCGATCCCCAAACCGCGGTTGTGTGGGCACTGACAGCTTATCCCCCTTGGAGGTAAATAGAGCAGGAACTGGGGTGGGTGGGCAGGGAGGTTGAATGGTGTTAAACTGGTCATATGTGGATTGAAATGTGGCTGGTTCAGCAGGAACCGGACGAAATTTGATCCATGTATGGGCAGGCTGATTGTACCCAAGTCAATTTATTGATCAACTTGGGTACAACCAGCCTGCTGGCTGCTATAGCTGCTAGCAGTAATGATTGTGTTCAGGCAGCTGGAAAGGCTCCCCACACCCCCCAACTGGCGGAACACAATAGTACTGTGGGAGATATTCCCAACATCAACACAGTGGTGGAAGGAAAGAAAATGGAATTATCTATGGGTTGCCTTGGTTCACCTTTTCTTTGAACTAACTCTTTAAGGGCTCGTTCACACTTGACTGTTTTACCAAACGCTTGCCAATGCCCCTATAGCGTTTGGCAAGCGTTGGTCCGGCGTTTGCGGACCATTTTTTAACGCTCGGCAAACGCTCCGCAAACGCCGCATATGCGGTTTAGCGGCGGTTGCTAGGCATTTGCCGAGCGTTAAAAACGCCCCACAAACGCCTATAATGAAGTTTGAATGGTGTTACCGCTCTGCAAACGCCCCGCAACTGCACCATAGACTAGAATAGGAGGCTTCAACGCCTCCTGACTCAACCAGAGGCGTCCGTTTTGCCGCGACGTGACGCTAACACTCTTGTTAGAACAGCACCATGTGCTGCAATGTGCAGAATTGTCAGAGGCGTTTGGGAAGCGGTAAAAACGCTTCCCAAATGCCTTTCTGCCGCCTGCACACAACGCTAGTGTGAACGTAGCCTTAGTGCCATTCCTCTATTTGTTCTGATGACAAAATACCTCTGGAGAAAGTGAGGGAAAATCCAAAACTATGAGTTTTAAACTAGAACAGGAATCGAGATTAAATAATCCAATGAAGACATTTGTTGCGATGACTGTACATTTTGATGTCGTTATTACCTACTCCATATCTTCAAAAATAGAGGTAGAACATTAGAAATAAGCTGATAATTTCATCACTCTAAGTATGGTGGATATAGGGTAACGTTGATATAGTCGTTTCTAAGCTTTTACAGAGAACAGCTCTTCATGTCTGACACGCCTCCGGTTTCCCAGAAGTTGTTTGAGAAGTTCCCTGGGCCCCCTTTGACATTTCTTAGAGATGAAACCAGACTCTTAGGGTGGAGGAAGCTGACTCACACTAATCCATGCATAGTGACACCATGCTGCAGCCCTGGTCCGCCAAGACCTTATGAAAGCAGAGCATGTGACAATGAGAAGCACACATCCTTTACTATAGAACTGACTTCACATGGTGCAATGTGTGATAACTTACGTAACATTTCTTAAGACATGCATTTACCATTAGCCAGTTAATACCAAATATTTATAATTTTATAGAGTACAGTCTATGCTGCTTTAATATAAAGGCTTGACAGCTATTGTCTGCACCTTACAATGAATTCATAGTGAAACATAATGTTCTTACATTAGTTTAGGAGGTATATTTGATTTTAGGGTAGAAGGCAATGATTTGGCAACATCTCTGACAAAGAAAAAAAGGCAAAAGATACTGGCTACATATGTTCTTATTCTGTATCAATGTTTTTAGAATAGTGCCATTATACCAGTAAATTTAAATTGCTTAGTAATGTGTTGTTGTAAAATGTAGCTTTTAAAGACTGCTTATGCAATAAAAAATAAATAGTTTCCATCAGGGGTGGACTGACAACTCATGGGGCCCCGGGCAATAAGGGATCATGGGGCCCCTGTGTCCTTGCTAAAATTCAAAAAAGCCTATGAAAAAGGTACCAAGGGCATCTCATGGGGCCCCCTACTGACCCTGGGCCCTCGGGCAGTGCCCGAGTTTCCAAATGGTCAGTCCACCCCTGGTTTCCATATAGTTTGCCACAGCTGCTTGAATACAGTAACAGTGGAGATTCCTTCATTTACTCTGTTATAGTAGCCATACATGGATCAACCGAGTTCTCCATCCATGCTTACAGAGTGGGGCGATTTTTGCTGAACAAAAATCGAGCCTTGAGGGACTCATCAGATGCTGTCACTGTTCAGATTTTTAGGGTGCTGTCACTGTCTGACTTTTATAGTGAGAAGTGGAGATTTGTTTTATCCATGCTGTTACTGTAGATGCAAATAGATCAATTGCCCCCCCATCCATGCTAACAGTGTGGGCCAATTCTTGCTGAACAAACACCAAGCCATGAGGGGCTCCGATATCAGATGCTGTCACTGTTTAGGTTTTTTGGGTGCCACAGCTGCCTGAATGTAACAGTAATAAAGATTTCTCCATCCACTCTGTTTTGGTAGCCATACATGGATCAATTTAGTCCTCCATGAAAGTTAATAGTGTGCTAATTCCTGATGAAAAAAATTGAGCCATGAGGGGCTCTGCTATCAGATGCTATCACTGTTCAGGTTTGTAGGGTGCTTGCGGGCTGAATGAGCGCAAATTAAGTCCTTGCATGGCTACCATATCATTACAAGAAATAGCCAACCCAAGGAACTTAAAGTTTCCAAGCAAAAATAGCTCTTTAATTGTGTGGTTATAGATACCCAAATGCACCAACAACCATCAAAGTAGCAGTTAAATACTATCCTCCTGCAGTGATATTGGGTCTTTACATAATCCTTTATTAAGGCCAAGTTCCAAAGAGCAAGTATTTATGTGAAGCAGGTAGAACAATAGAATAGTGCCTTGTTCCACATTTAAAATGTATTGCATGTGTATGTATTCAGCTAAACACTCACAACGGGGGCATTATTTGGGGGGGAGGGGTTGTGATTCACTCTCACCGATAGATTACAAAGATGTAATGGCCACTGGTTCTGCTAATATCAGAAAATATTGACAGAAATTGTTGCCCAAACCTGTTAAAAGTAGCAATGCTGGGTAAATATCATCTAGTGTCTACAGATACCCTCACCATAGGGTACTCTCAATGAGATCTGAGATCATTGGGTTACACAAATAAAACAAAACTAGCCACATAATGAATAGGGGAGAGTATTATATGACAGGTGTTCTTTGCATGCCCTTCAATATCCCATTCTTAGGATTGTGATTTTTGTTGTCTCTCTGCAGGTGGACAAATACCTCTATCACATGCGCCTGTCTGATGAGACACTCCTGGAGATATCAAACAGGTTCTACAAAAGAAATGGACAAGGGACTTGGGGCAGAGACCAACCCCACAGCCTGTGTGAAGATGTTGCCAACATTTGTGCGATCCACACCCGATGGAACAGGTAGGAATAAATGTGACCTAGAGTCACTTTACTTTATATAGTACTACTGTATATATCTCTTTAATATAGTGGATAGAGCCAATCAAATTCAGGTCCAAATTAAAGAAGAATTCTGGGCAAAATTTGTATTTTCCCATGCAGTGGGGCTGTGCCCTCACTGCATGGGTTAAATGCTTGTTTTTGTCTAGGGGGTTGTATTGCAGAGATATACTTACCTAATCTGCTGATCCTTCAAGCGCAAGACCGATCCCCACCGCTCCTGCCCCCCCACTCTAGCGGCCATCTGAATGGACTGTTCCTGACATCATCACGTCTATAAACTGGCTTTGAATGTGAGGACAGCAGGAACAGTCCACCACAGGACGTGGGGGAGCGTGTTTTCCGAAGGATTGAAGAATCGTGTAAGTATAGCCTTTTGGTGAAAAAACAAGCAGTTAACCAATCTTTAAATCAAACAGATCTACAAGCCATACATATGCAGAAAGGGATCAGTTGACCATAACCGCTCCCTCTCGGTGTCTGCTGGGTCTATATTTCAGAAGCAGCATCATTTCTTCTTTTTATGTAGCATGAGTTGCACACAGCCATCCGCAGCTTTAGACTGGAGATTTGGCAGCTCTGACATTTCCAAAAGGACTGGTGGGACTTTCTACGGGCTGCTGAACCGCAGTCAATGTGCACGGCAATGATATAGATCCGGGTACTTTATTAGCTCAGCACTGGTACCAATAAATAACACCTTAATTACTGCACTTAGCATATATTGGTAATAGAAGCATACACTGGTCTACTGTGATCCATAGGCTGACATGTCTATCCTTAGCAGGTTGGGGCAATCTATTCACCAGATTATTATTTTGCTGCACTGTACTGACCTTGGGACAAGGGCCAGTGAAAGCCCAGAATTCCAACTGCCAGCATCTGACACACTATACCAAGCAATATGCCCAAAGCTTTAGTAGATGTAAGCAGTAGTGGCATGTTCTTAATGGTGCTAGTTAGTATGCATGTGTCACATATTAGTTGCTGATCATGATAGTCTCAGCTAGAATGGGAACTGGTTGTATGTTGTTGGGGCCCCCAGGGGCGGACTGACCATTTGGAAACTCGGGCACTACCCGAGGGCCCGGGGTCAGTAGGGGGCCCCATGAGATGCCCCTGGTACCTTTTTCATAGGCTTTTTTGAGTTTGGGCAAGGACACAGGGGCCCCATGATCCCCTATTGCCCGGGGGCCCCATGAGTTGTCAGTCCGCCCATGGGCCCCCATGAACATGCCATGACTGACCATTTTGGGGGAGAATTGATTGGCCAGGCTAGATTTATTTTCTCATAAGATCCCATACTGTCCCCCCTCTATAAAAATTAATATCAATACATAGATCTTTCAGCAGTCAGATTATGCTTTGGAGAACGACTGACACTTCAGGAATGTAAACACAGGTTTGTTGCTGTAGCAAACCTTTAAGCTGGGTTCACAAATGTGTGGTGTCAGTTCCAGTCCAATGTGGTTTCCTTCAACGGCTCAGGTGCGAATTTCAATTCAAAGTGCAATTTTAGGTTCAAGTGTATGACACTTCAAATTGCACCTGAAACAGACTTAAAATCATACTGGGCCCATTTTAAAAATGCACTGCGGACTCCATAAAAAGTCAGTTTGGTGCACATGCCATGCAAATTGGATGTGGTTCAAAATGCATCTAATTCACATATCTGTGAACCGCAGCCTAGGCAGCATGTACACAGGCACAATAAAATAATCCCATTTTTGCTGGATCTTTCTGCCAGGAGTTGACAGAAAAATCCAGTGTAAAAAACGCTTGGCCTGGCACACAATTTCTTTCCAGTAAACAGATTATTTATTTGTTTTACACTTTACACTGAAACGACAAACATGCATTTATGTGCATTTTATGCCAATACACTTCTTTCTGAATGCAGGTTTGAGGCATTTTTTTAATGGCCCTAAATGCTGCTCTAAAATACAAATCTAAATGCTATATGGTGTATAGACATATTGGGGGAGATTTTTTAAAAACTGGTGCGCCCAGAATCTGCTACAGCTGTGCATAGCAGCCAATCGGCTTCTAACTTCAGCTTGTTCTATTAGGTTTTGGCAAAAACACTTGGAAGCTGATTGATTGGTTTCTATGTAGAGCTGCACCAGATTTTGCACTCCATCCATTGACTACCATAGAGCTGCATTCAGAGGTGTGCACGTGGCTTTACTAGATGACAATTTAGTATTTCATTAATATTTATTCTATTTTTTACATAGCACAAACACATTACACAGTGTTTTAGAAAATAATCAGTTAGGGTGCCAGTCCCTGTGGAGCTGACAGTCTAATGTCCCTAATGCAGTTACATAAGGACCAGGGGCGGACTGACCATTTAGAAACTCGGGCACTGCCTGAGGGCCCAGGGTCAGTAGGGGGCCCCATGAGATGCCCCTGGTACCTTTTTCATAGGCTTTTTTGAGTTTGGGCAAGGACACAGGGGCCCCATGATCCCCTATTGCCCGGGGGCCCCTGGTACCTTTTTCATAGGCTTTTTTGAGTTTGGGCAAGGACACAGGGGCCCCATGATCCCCTATTGCCCGGGGGCCCCATGAGTTGTCAATCGCCCCTGATAAGGACACACACACATTCTCCCGCCAGTTTATGTAGAAGCCAGTATAATAATTTAGTGTCATTTTAGGAATGTATTGCTTTTTTTCCATACAGGTAGTAACAAGCACAATCTGTAGGAACCTGCATTTTATTGCAACACAGTAAACATTTAGATTTTAAGCTCTTAGGTGAAATCATGGCGTTTTCGGGGCCTTAGGAACTGCAGTTAAATGTCTAAATGTTTATTAATTATAATCAAGAAATAAGCAGCAGACCTGCCCAAGCCTGGAATTTTGGCATCTGTCATAGTTACGCAAGAACAGGGAGGTCTTTGGGCAGACGCCGCTCTAAACATGTCTTTGTGGTGAAACAATGTACTAACAGTGCTAAGAAAAGCGTCTACCACATTATCCTCCTTATATAGGGCATAAGAAGATGTATATCAGAACCATCTACAGGAGTGTAAGGCTGTCTACAAACACTATAACCTGATTGTAGAGATCCCTAAAGAGGACCTAAACTGAGGTCACTGTATCTAAAAAGCCAAGGGCAATTAACTTATCACCAGTATTGCCTGTAGGCCCCCTGCAGCTGATCTTTTCCCCATTACTGACCTTTAATACCATGTTTTGCACTGTGCCTCTGTGCAGGGCACACATCTTGGTAAAGAATCAGGGCATTGTTTTCTCATGTCAAAGCTGCCCCTGATTACTGGGAATCTGATGAATGGTGGAGCGATGATAAAGAAGTAGCAGAAGTGCTCAAATTACAGATCCCCAGAGTAAAGCAGAAGCAGGGAGATCTTTGCACTACAGATCCTCAGGTACAGCTTCCTCTCCAGCAAGCAAAACAGCAGAGTAGTCATAAACACATATGCACAGCATAAGTAGGCACAGGAATGCCTAGAGCCTACATACAGAATAAACGCTAGATGGAGCTCTGTATTAGATGAAAATGTATTTAAAGCTGTAGTAAGGTCTGCTTTTTTTACAATTATACAGGTAAGACTATAATAAGGCTTACCTGTAGGTACAGCAAATATCTCCTAAACGTGCACCGTTTAGGAGATATTTACTTTAGTAGCTGCTGTTGACTTCACTGTCGCATGCACACTGCACTCTTAATGGGTGGCATGCTGTCCATTGAGAGAACTGCGCTGCAGCCGACTCCAGCACATATGTCATTCGACCATTCAAACATTCTTCGAAGGAAGACCAGGTAAAGAGGGCAGCCCTTTCAGCAGTGACAGAGCGCTGCCTTTTAAGGTAAGTCTTTCATCATGTGCTAGTATGCAATGCATACTAACCAGGGGTGGACTGCCCATTTAGTCACTACCCGAGGGCCCGGGGTCAGTAGGGGGCCCCATGAGATGCCCCTGGTACCTTTTTCATAGGCTTTTTTGGGTGTGGGTGTGGTTTGAGAGTGGGAGAGGACACAGGGGCCCTATGATTTTCTATTGCCTGGAGGCCCCATGAGTTGTCAGTCCGCACCTGATACTAACAGATTATAAAATGAGCCTATGGGGGGACCATTTGTTTAATTTTTTTGTGCAGTTTACTACAGACCTAACCTTTCTCTTACAGTTGTTGAGATCAGCCACAAGGTTTTTCATTGGGTTGTAGGTCAAAGTAAGCAGAAGCAGTCAAAAGTTTTTTTTTCCTAATATTTTGCAACTTCAGTGTAAATTAAAAAATATATTAGACATGACTGTAGACATCTGTAACCAGCGTATAAGGACTTAAAATGTTTGTTCACTTTTACGGAAAAAATGTAAAGGTGAAATAGCATCAGCCCCCCCCCCGGTTCCTGTACTTACCTTCAGGGTTGTCAAACTGTCAGCACCCCTGCAGCCACTTTAGTGCTCCAGGGATTTCAAATCCCTGCTCTTCTCCACCACATTGATGGTGCTGACCAATTCATGTACACCTGGGTCATTGTATACTGACAGTGGCTCCTGCTGCTGTCAGAATACACTGATCAGTGGCTGCAGCTGCTGATCGGTAAACATTTTCCAGTGTGTCTGTTCAACTGAAATCAATCTAATGATCAAATCTGCTGAACAGAGAGGGCCATGCACAGGGGCGGACTGACAACTCATGGGCCCCCGGGCAATAGGGGATCATGGGGCCCTTGTGTCCTTGCCCAAACTCAAAAAAGCCTATGAAAAAGGTACCAGGGGCATCTCATGGGGCCCCTACTGACCCCCCCAGGCAATAGCTGATCATGGGGCCCCTTTGTCCTTGCCCAAATTCAAAAAAAGCCTATGAAAAAGGTACCAGGGGCATCTCATAGGGCCCCCTAATGGTCAGTCCGCCCCTGGCCATGCATGGATCAAAATTCGGCCATTCCCTGCTGTACTGGCCATATTTCAATCAGTTTACGCCCAGCTTTAAAGTGGGTGATAAGGTTAATACTAACTACAGTAATACCTCGGTTTACGAATATAATTCGTTCTGCAGGACTTTTTGTATAGGGAAAAATTTGTAAACCAAAACACCGTTTCCAATAGGAATGCATTGAAAACCATTTAGTTCCGAAGGTCAGAAAAAAGTAAATGCTACTAAAATACTGTATGAGTTATTTTATCAAGCCATGCGGTATTTTAGTAGTGACAACCATTTGTTAATGTTTTAGCTGTCAGCGGGGTTCCCCACTGACAGCTGAATGTAAAAGAATTGGCTGCAAGGGCCTCTTCCCCACAACCCTTGCCGGTGGTTGTGGGGGGGTCTGTGAGCAGGGGGCTTATCAGAATCTGGAAGCCCCCTTTAACAAGGGGGCCCCAAGATTCCTCCACCCCCTATATGAATGAGTATGATTTACATGGTACTCATTAGCAAAAAACAAAAAGTGTAGTGTGAAAAAAGACAGGACACGGTCTTTGACAAGGGGGAGAGAACATTTTTACGAATAGTCAATATTAGCCATTACTACCACTTTACCTAGTTGTGGTATGATAAAACTCGTACTCAAGTTTGTCTTAAAAAGTAAAATAACATATAAAGTATGAATTAAAGAATAATAACAACAATCAAACAGTGATTTTCTATCTGTAGAAAATTCAAGCCAACCCCTGTCTCAATTAATCAAAGTTGAATTTCCTCCTATGTGTAACTCAGGCTGTCAACTTAGATTTTTAGAGAAGTGGGAGATTCTTCCCATTACACGACCTTGCTCACCACCACACCAGCTCAGTGGACTGCACAGGTTTGTGACGCTGCATACTTGGCAGATAATTGCTACATGTGAGCTTGTGTTTAATCAGGAGGTTTTCTTTCTACAGCTGTGTGTACAGAGAAAAGGGAGCAGCCTTTGTGTTGGGGTGGTGCAGACACCCACTGATTAAATATAGCCTCTTGCAATGTAACAGCAACTGGGGAAAGAAAGCCACTCCTGACGTAAAAATGAGGCGTGGATCCATCATGACAGCAATGACTTCACTGCAAGGTCACCAGGTTAACTGACACGTAACATGCATTTCTTTCCTATACAGGGAAGGAAAATTTTAATTACATTATTATTATTATTATTATCCACTTGCCCTCCAGAGGATTTACCCCCCTTCCTGACCAGACCATTTTTTGTGATACAGCTCTGCGTTACTTTAACTGACAATTGCGCGGTCATGCAATGCTGCACCCAAATTAAATTTATGTCCTTTTTTTCCCCACAAATAGAGCTTTATTTTGTTGGTATTTGATCGCCTGTGCATTTTTTGTGCTATAAACAATTTTGAGAAAAAAACAATATTTTTGACTTTTTGCTATTAAACATGTCCAGTAAAAAAAATTAAAAAAATCAAATTTCGGCATAAATTTAGGCCAAAAATGTATTCTGCTACATGTCTTTGCTAAAAAAAAAATCCCAATACGTGTAAAGTAATTGGTTATCGTGAAAGTTATAGCATTTACAACTGGCAGTATAGATACTGGAATTTTTTTTTTTTTTACTAGTAATGGTGGCGATCACCAGCTTATAGTGGGACTGCGGTGGGCATTCTGACACTGACACTGGGGGGAGCTGACTTTGTGTCATTGACATCCCCAATGACACCAATACAGTGATCAGTGCTAATAAAAAAGCACTGAAAATGTACTAATGACACTAGTAAGGGGTTAACATATGGGGCAATCAAAAGGTTAACTGTGTGCTGTTTTACTATGTTGGCTGTGTGTGTGGTTTCCACTGTAAACACACTGCTTTTTATGGCTCTGCTATACAGTCCAGGCCACGAATGGTGGCGAGGGTAGGGCCCCCTACTCGGAACTGCAAAATCACGTAGATATACGTGATTTTGCGCACCCATGCCGCCATGTAGCAGTATTTTTGCTATAGGGTGCCGAGGAACCAGTTATACAGGATTTATATAGTGGCAACAGTTTACGCATTGCTTTACAACAAAAGGGCAGACAGTACAATCACAATACAAATTAATACAGGAGGGATCAAAAGCGGTCTCATATTATATGGTGTACATACCGTAAATATACATGACTTAATTTTTATGGGCTAAAAAGAAGAGCAATTTTCTTATACTTAATGTCTGAATGGTTTACATTCATTGTAGCAGAATTGTATTTCTGTATATAATTACCTATCACCCTTCCTGCTAGAATTCTCATTCATCTTATGTCCTCCTCACTGCTTGCTTTACCCCTTACCCTAAAGCCTGCACTATTGTGCTATCATTGCGCACTTTGTACGTGGTTGCAGGGCTCTTCCAGAGTGGCCCCATTCACTTTAATGGGTTGGCCTCGACAGGTGCTACACCCATTGAAAGCAACAGAGGATATAATTCCTGCCTCCTTGCTTCCTTGCTGTGATGCAAAGCATCGTGGCCATTGCAAGTGCACCCACAGTCGTTGCCTTTGCAGCTGAAGGGGGAACAGTTGGGGCAGTGAAAACATGACTCAACTGTGGGGTTTTTACCAGGAGCGGACTGAAAATTCATGGGGCCCCCGGGCAATAGGGGATCATGGGGCCCCTGTGTCTTTGCCCAAACT